AAAAAAAAAAAAAAGTATCCCGGTGGAATTCTTTCCTTCTCCGAATTTCCTCTGCAGTTCTCTCCTTTTTCTCTCCTTGGCGCAGAATTGGCCCGTGTTTATTTTCGCAATTTTCTTTTCATTTGCCTTTTTTCACGCTGGGTTTCAAGTGCTCCACCACGCGGGGACATCATGGGGGGTGGATTCACGGAGCCGGTGCGGCTCCGTGCTCCCCCCCCCCCTCCTCCCTCCCGTCCGACGACGACTTGCTTCGGAGCGCGCGACCCCCACACACCCCTGCCCGACGACTCCCCCCGACCACTAAGACCTCTCTCTCTCCTTCTCACTCTCACTCTCCCCAGGCTCGATCGACGTCCTCTCGGAGGCCGGGATCCAGGCGGAGCCGCTCGGCGTGACCCCCGGCGAGGGGATCTGCCCGGAGAGGGCCAGCAGCTTCGACGAGGCCGGGGAGCCCGTCTTCGACGACAAGGACGTCGCCTACGGGATCGAACAGAATGCGGTGCTCTCCGTGCCCACCGGGCAAGCCTTTCCATGTCCGACATTTTTATTTTATTTTATCCTTTATGACTCATTTTAGATTACAAATTACCCTTGTGTTCTTAGCATTTATTATTTATTTATATTTTGGTTTAAATATTCATCAAATTAAAAATAGTTTTATTTACTTATTATTCCATCTTTCGTCCGTCACTTTCAACTGTCAATTTTTACTTGTAATGTTTCGAGTTCCGCTTCGCGCGAGTTCCGACCCAAAACGTGGTCTTTGCAGTCGGCTTCCCGAAGGATTTCTCCATCCTGGCGACGGTCCGGGCCCAAAAGGCCACGGACAGCACCCTTCTGACCATCTACAACGACGCCGGCGACGAGCACCTGGCCATCCGGCTGGAGCAGAAGACCTTCTTCTACTACCGGGACGCGGAGACGAGCGCCAAGGACGCCAAGAACCTGGAATTCCAGGCGTCCCTCACCGACGGAAAGTGAGCTGGGGCTGGGGGGAGGGGAGGGGGGGAAGTGGGCAGCCATGAGGGGGAGAGGGGAGGGGGGAAGAGCGCCAATGAAAATGTAAAGGATAGAAGGAAATGGAGACTTACGGCTTTTTTTAAATTTTAATGAAAGGTGGCACAAGTTAGCCTTGAGCGTGAAGGGAAACTCCGTGACGATGCTCCTGGACTGCGAGACCCAGGAGACCCTGCCGCTGGAGAGGAACCAATCGTCCCGAATCAGCAACACCGGCATCATCTTGGTGGGGCAGGACCTCCTGGACGTGAAGCACTTCCAGGTCGGCCGGAAGGATTCCAGCGCGCGAGGGTCGATCGAGTCGAGAATCCGACGCGAACGATCCGTTTTCTCTCCACAGGGTTCGCTGCAGCAGCTGTACGTCGTGCCCGGGCCGGGAGCGGCGTACGAGCAGTGCTCGCTCTACTGCCCGCCGTGTCACTTGCCGATGACGGTGTCCTCGGAGGACTTCAGGCCGTTGCAGCCCGGCGAGGCGGTGGAGGGGGGCAGCCCGGTCGTCGTGGCGCCGGGCGTCGACAACGTCACCTTTGTCGGTTCCCTCTTTCCGTTTCGTTATTATTTTTAGTTGCGAGACCGTGTTCTTGGTAGTCTTGTTGGTGTTCTTTGGATGAGTTTACGGGTATCGCTTCCGTCGTGGCGGCGACGGTGGCCCAGCTATGCACGGGACAGAGAACCATGGGATCGGCGTTCCCAAAGCGTAAAAATTCGGTCGTGGACAAGAGACGCAAGACTATTGGAGGCCACATATAAAAATGTCTCCTCAGAGTTTAAATATTTTTTGAGTCGATTCAATTTCAATCGTAATTTGTTCAATAATTCGCCGGAACCGCCCACGGCTTCAGGCCGCATGCAGACGACGAAAAGATCTCGCCGACTCAACCGAAACCGATCTCGACCCCTCAGGAAGGGTCCGGAGAGTTCGAGTTCCTCGGAAACACCCAGTACACGTACTACAGCGTGCAGGGCCCCCCGGGCCCCCGAGGCTACTCCGGCCCCCCCGGCCCCCCCGGCGACCCGGGGGGGAAGGGCGAGTCCGGCCGCGACGGGATCTCCGGCACGGACGGCATCCCGGGGCCACCCGGCCACGTCTTCATGATTCCCGTCGGTTGCGGCTTCCCACCCTCTCTCTCGACCTGTCGCTCTCCCTGCCTTGTCAGTGCTCCCTTTTACATTTGCAGCTGAGTCAAGGGAACGAGAAGGGTCCCGATGCACACTTGGAGAGTCTGCGACAGATGTTGGCTCAACACATGGTAAGCCTCACGGTTCCCGTCTTTCTTCTTGCGAGTGCGACTCCCCAAAAATCTTTTCGAGAGTGAGGAATATTTGTACGAACGAGATGGCGATGCGAGGTTCCCAAGGTC